GTAGTTAAGAAATATATAAATAATATGGTATGGAAAATAAACTGCATTTATAAATCTACAAAATGGTGCAAACTATTTGTCTCTATCTATTGTGGATCCGGAGATAATCTCATGTGAAGAGGTCATCCTCCAAACTATGTTTGGACCATGTAATCCAATGGGTTATGGTCATTGATCAATATTGGTCAATATGTAGTTTTGCTAACAATTTGCAGAAAATAGTTTTTCATTGACATATAATACATGAAATTTATGTGAAATTTAACGCTGAACACGATGATAATATTAAATTTTTTATATCTCAAATATTATTCAACTTATTCAACTTAGAACTCTGTTTCAAAAAAAATTATTTGCTAATCTTTGGATATTATATATAAATTCGATGTACAATGTGGTAAATGTTTTTAGAATATGCACTAAAAGTTAGATATTTGTATGGGATATTATTTGCATTGAATATTCAAATCATTATTTGTATAAATTTTTAGTTTCCGACATTATTTTAAAAATATTTTGAAACACATTTCATAGCATTTTCCAAACACTTTTTGGAGGATGACCTGTTCAGATGAGATTATCTCCGGATTCACAATAGATAGAAACAAATAGTTTGCACCATTTTGTAGCTTAATAAATACAGATTAATTTCCATACTATATTATTTATAAATTTATTAACCAATTAATATAAATTTGTGTTTAGTAGTTTCGCGAAATTTGTTCCGCAAAAGTTATATCACATAATGTATTAAATATAGTATTAATACAACCCATGCCTACCGATGCACATAATCTGGAGTATTATAATAGATTAATGTCATCATAGATTTTTTGATGCGCTCATGAATTTATGGTATAATAAAAAGAGAGAGAGAGAGAGAGAGAGAGAGAATAAAAATCTCCATTCAATTTATGGCTAAAACTAAAAGTTAAGCCAAAATATTCTGATAATACCTTTAGAGTTAATGCACTTCTGGTGTAACCAATATAAGTGTCGGCACAACAAAATGGGATTTCAATACAACTTTTTCTACATCTTTACCCGTAATATATGTCACATAATGTATTAAATATAGTATTAATACAACCCATGCCTACCGATGCACATAATCTGGAGTATTATAATAGATTAATGTCATCATAGATTTTTTGATGCGCTCATGAATTTATGGTATAATAAATTTATTAATTAAACTTTTTTCCCATCAAATAATTAATATGTTTTTTCATTGTTTTTATGTTAGAGACGTCTTATGAATAGCGTTAAAGGGTACACAAATATTAATATATTATAATTAATGTCAATTAGTTTTAGATTATACTGTATGGGCAAACACTTCACCCCCTTATTTTTGTTTTGCTACCAACCCGTGGCTAATCATTGAATATTCTGGCAATAAATTCATTGTATTTTATTTATTTTTATTCATTTATCTATGCATTTATTTCGTGGAATCGCTTATATATTATATATTCATTGTTTAACAAATAATCTGTACTTAAGTTTTATATAACTATTCATCTATTGGTCTGAAATCCCAATTGAGTGGTAAATAAAGCGTTTCGAGAGAGAGAGAGAGAGGAGAGAGAGAGAGAGAGNTAATATATAAGCGATTCCACGAAATAAATGCATAGATAAATGAATAAAAATAAATAAAATACAATGAATTTATTGCCAGAATATTCAATGATTAGCCACGGGTTGGTAGCTAAACAAAGATAAACAAGGGTTGCACAGCGATGTTAACCACAATTTAGGTGATACTAAAAGAATTGATTAAAACTTTCTATAGATTTAATATGAGACCAACAGACTTTTCATTCTCTATAGAATTAACATTAGTCCCATAGAGTTAATATTGTCCATATGATTAGCATTAGTCTCATAGACTTAACATTGCACATGCTAAACCTATGTCACAGACATAACACCATGTTAAAGTATACCAAAAGACTTAAACTGTGATTCCACGTTAAATCTCATATAGCGAGGGACAGGGAAGGATGGAGGGGGAAGGAGTGGCCGAACGATCCTATAAACCATATTAATAATTTCTGAATTGTGGTTAAAAAGTGATGATTACTATTAGTATCAATAGTGTGCATTACCGATGATAATAAAGATACATTACATTATAACATAACAGTCAAGTATTTGCAACAATTACTTACAATAAACATTAAGTGTATATCCGATTTCAATGCTACTGTTGGCCAGTCGTGTGTTTTCCGACCGACACGACAGATAAACGCCGTGATCTTCGGCCGATGGCGTGTATGTAATGGCACTTGTCGTCAGGTTTCCCACAGTTTCTGTGCGTTCACTACATATTAAAACATTAATTGTAATTTTATTCATAATTTATAAAATATATTGTTTATAAAAATGTAAGTATTATTTAATTGTATAATTATTGAATAGGAATCTCATTAGTTATTTATAATGTTTACAAATATATCCTTTAGTTGTATCGTTTTGGGGCGAAATACTGAGAGTATTAATATAACTTATAACTGAAAATAAATCAAAGTAAAAATACACTCTAAAAGATATTTATGAATAGTTTGTTAATAAATTAATCCAAATCAAAATATATTGCAATATACAATAGTAAATACTAAAACTAAAGTAAAATTATTGAAATAAACAGCACAGACCTGGAATGAATTAATGGACGGTTATCTCTAAGCCAGGTAATCTTGGCCGGGGGTCTACTGCCCCCTGTATTGCATACGAGCTCCACACTACCTCCCGCTGATAATTGACCATCCAGCGAATTTAATCGGATGTCTAATGGTTTTACTAGATATGAAAAAATTAATTAATCTAGGTTCAATAAAATCATATAATCGATTAATATGGGACTAAACATATAACATACGGTTAATGTCTAATCGCACGGATGTCTGTATGGGTGCCGTGAAGTTGGGATGATATGCCTGACACGAGTATTTGGCATTCAAGTCACTTCTCGTCAAATTGATTATTAACACGTCGTTATGTATTGTCTTATTGTCGATGCTATGGCTGTACGAGTCGTCAATCATCTGATCCTCTCTGTACCACAACAACGATGGCGGAGGTTTGCCTGTAATTGGGATTATAGCATAGTTTATTACTGGTACTATTCATTTATCAACATAGTAAAACAAAATAGATTTATTGTTTATATATTGGAAAATAAAATTATTAAAAATGTCCATTAATTAACTTGTTAAATATATAATTATTTATGAATACATTATAAGTATAAAAAGTCTATAATTAGCATTCTTTAGGCTAAACGACCAAAAGTTAAAATATTAAATTTAAATAATTAATACAAATTTCTGGTAATCTATTGCTGTAAATAAATCATTTAAAATGCATATCATTTACGCAAATGATATGTGAATTCATTAAATGTCAAAACATAGTTAATTAGCATTATTTATATGAGATTTCTGCATAATTACTCATTATTAGGTATTTATTAATTAATGAGTCCTTTAATAATGAGAGAGAGAGAGAGAGAGAGAGAGAGAGAGAGAACGACGCGAAACTGGCCAACAGTTCCGCGTTGTTGACCGTCCACTGGAAGGCCACGTCCGGCGGTTCGGCCGTCACAGAGCACGGGATCTTCACCGCCTCCCCCAACGCCGCCCCAAACACACGCTTATGCGACCGACACACCGGCGGGTCTGCACAACACATGCATAACAATATTGTTAAGCATTTGATTTTGTTTTTATTGAAGTCAATTTTTAGGGCAATTTATTTCATAAAATAGGGGTTTGCAAAATGTTAGTGTATATCAACTGTAAACCAGAATGTTGAAATATTTAAATATGTTTTAGATATTAATTTTACATTTATAAAAGTTAAAATGTTGCGTGTGCTTAGCAATTACACTGTATTTATAAAATAATCATTCATAGTATGAATGCCATTCAATAGAAATTAGTGATATTAACCAGTAATAAAATTAAGTCATTCATTAAAATGACATAAAATTTATTATAATTATTACAATACAGTCTATAAAAAGTGTTACTCTCATTAAGTTAATGATAATGTTAACTCATTGCGTAAATAAAAATTAACTAATCAAGTTTAATTAAAAGGTGGTAATCGAGTAGTGTTAAAAAAATAAGACCATGTTTATTTTCATAGACAAACTAACTTCCGTAATATAACATTTTAGTATCCGTTTAATATATACTAATCACTCGTATATGAATGTAATAAATGTTTTATATTTAATAAATAACAGTTTATAAGTTTTAACTTTCATTAACATAAGAGTTAATGACTTAACGTAAACTAACTCTTTAGTTAATTCCAAAAAATATCACTTAATTATAATGAACCATGGTAATGTTTGACATAAATTATATTTAATAAATGTGTGTTAGTTTAAATATTATACAAAATAATCAGGGTAAGGGCAGTAATTAGGATGATATGTATTGTGTACTTACAGGTGACGGCGAGGACTAATTCATTGCTATCTCCTCTGCCTTCGGAGTTATTGGCGAAACACTGATAGCGTCCGGAATGCTGTCGGCGAACGCTCTTTATTACGAGACTTGAGTTATTAATGAACACCCCTTTAGTGTGAACAACATTTGTATTAATTTACAGTGAATTTAAACATAATATAGTACTCAATGATACTAATTACAAGAATTAGATCTAGATATTATTTGTAACAACACTTACCGTCAGAATTGTCGATAATTTGTGTGCCATTGAAGAAGAATTGTATGACATATGTGTGCGGATGAGCACTGATCTGACACTTCATAAATATCTCGTCCCCTTCGCTGATATGATGTGCAATCGACGACTTCGTGCCCGTTGTGCCCATCAATAAGGTTACTTGCGGTGCGACTGGTAATACAATAAGCAATAACATGATCATTTTGTTTATACAAATTGTAAATGTTACTTTTACGCCAATTAATCAATTAATTATAAATAATACTGTATTGAGCTAGTTGGTTAAGGTCAATATATCATTTATTAGTATATACTGTGATTTATATAATCCAGGTGAAAGAATAATGACATAGTTCGCACATTTTAATAAAGTATCCATTATATAAATAAATATGCTTTTATTGATACGAACTCTCGGCCCTAAACTATTTAACTCTTTTTTATTGGCAATATATTTGAGTACTTTTTTCACCAGAATATGTGAGTGAAAGCCAATAATCGCCACTTAAATAGGATATAAAGTATATGTGAAATTGAATTTCTCTCTCTCTCTCTCTCTCTCTCTCTCTCTCTCTCTCTC